TTCTACATTTCACACAAGCTCCTGGCTGCTGAGACCCGCCCTTCTTGTCGGAAGGTTGCAGTGGTGAGTGCATGAAGTTTGGGAGTACGTGGACTCGAGTTAGATCCTGACCCCATCACTTACGAGCTGAATGACTTTGGGTTAAGTACTTAACTGCTCTGAGCCGTTTCCACCATCAGTAAAAGTGGAAATAACGATAACTCCTATTCATGACCATAAAAAGGAGGTGAGCTAGCAACATAGTTCCTGGAAGATAACAGACCCTGAATGCCATCCTATGCCACCTATGGCACGCTAAATAATGGCCCCCCACAGATGTCCATAGCCCAGTCCCCAGAATCTGTGACTACATTACCTTACATGGCAAAAGGGGAATTTGCCGATGTGATGAATTAAGGTCCATGAGATGAAGAGATTATCCTGGATTATCTGAATGGGCCAATGTAATCACAAGGGTTTTTATAAAAGTCAAGCAGGAGCGTAGGAATAATAGAATATGAAAGAATCAAAGGTCAGAGAGGAGAGAAGATGCTGTTTCTGGCTTTGAAAGTGGGGTAAAGGGCCTAGTTCCAAGAAACATGAGCAATCTCTAGGAGCAGAAACCTTTAGAAGGCACGCTTCTCTTAAGATGCATTTTAGACTTCTGATCTCCAGAATTTTAAGAGGATAAATATGGGTTGTTTCAAGCCACTAAGTTTGCAGTAATTTGTTACAGCAGCCACAGGAAACACACACACCAGCTACAAGAATAATGCTAAAGCAAGCCTGCCTCACTTTACATACACAAAGAATTCTTCAAGGAGCCTTTATATCAAGGGGAGAATTGCTTCCACATTACCTGTTTTGTTGGGCTATAGCAATTTTTAATAAACAGGGCTGCACCTGTTTTAATAACAAACTCTGCGAAGGGCAGAAAGGAATCTCCTGCACTCTGATTGTATCATCACATTCCCATCGGTCGGCTTCTCACGTAATTGTTGAAATCTAACAAGGCTCCTGGGGACAGTTCAGTGGGCCTCAATATCGGGGGAACCAAAGAAAGTAACCCTGGGCTTAGGATTGAAAATCAATGGTCTCAATATTTGTACAAATCTTCATTTGCTATTTATAATGTGGCTTCTCCCATAGAGAAGCTTTATGGAAATAAGAAAATACCAAGATAATAAAAAAGATGTCTGCAGAATGAAACTTGTTTCAAAACTTAATGAATTTTGTCCTGCATTCTTCAACCCCAACAGCTCCTCTTACCATCTCTGGTTTTGCATTTCCCTTACCAGACTCTAAGCTCCACGGAAGGAAGGATATGGATATCTTATTCCCAACTATTACATCCACACCATCTAGCACTATCATTGGCTCTCAGTTTGCACACAATAAATATTTGTGGATGAACAGATATTATGATAGATACTTACAATGGAAAAGCATGTTATGAGTTTCATTAGAAAAAGAATTACCCATAAAGTTCTTTTTTCTCCAGTTTGAACTTAAAACTACGTGGCCCAAGATGATATTTAAGGTAGAATTAAAAGTACGCTTTCTGATTTTATTTGCCTAATATATTCATTTGATAATTAATGTGCTAAACAGTCAAAGCAAATAATTACTTTCTTAGTGTCTGCCCCTGCATAAGAACTAAATGGGGGGAAGTCACTACTCACATATTAAGAAATGGTAACTAGTTTTAAATTTAATCTCAGACCACAACATGCAAAATGGTCAGTCCTTTCATTGGCTCAGTTACAACCTCATGAAACAGCCCAAATCTTCACAACAGATGTAAAGTCTGCTTTAGTCACACTGAATATAAAATACATATTCAAAAGTTTACCAGTTCACATTTATGAGGTCTTCTGACCAACTGGTAGGATTGATCATAAAAACTGTATCTTTTAATTTACTTCATGTTCAGTATATTTTATGTAAGAAGCAATGTATTCTCATGGAAAGTTATGATTTAAAATCTTATTTTGAAATATTGAGGCATGATAGTAAGAAGCTAGGAACATTCTTTGGCAAGTAGAATGGGGAAACTGACACAGAGTTAAATGGCTGAGCAATTTGCAGCCGGATGATAAATTGCAATGTGTTATCTTCCCTAACCAAGGACACTTAGAAGGCAGACCCACCTCGGTCCTGGTCTCTCTTTGGTGACATTCTTTGAAGGTAAAACTGACCAGAGAATGACTCTGACCCTATGAGCTCATTCTGATGAGTCAGCATATTAAAGGACACACCTGGAAAGCTGATGAATATTCTATTGAGATCCTCTCCTGAGACGACCCCTAAAATTCCCACTTTTAGAAAACAGATAAAAAACCCTTACCACAAAGGACGCAGCGTATACTCTCTTTGGAGCACACCAGCACCTTCCCCTCCGTTCTTTCCCTGGGCATGTATCTTTGCTTTCTTTCTCCTAAGCAAAAAGGGTCCCCACAAGAATTGCAACCAGGAGTGCAGCAGGCAGGTGGAGTTCGTCCCCGGCTAACCCGCTGAGCCTGTCTCCAAGGGCCTTCCTTCTGCCTCTGAATCCTGTTTCCTGAGTCCACACAGCCCAGCTGGCTCCCTTCTTCTGCCTCTGTGACTTTCTTCTAAAGGGCCAAGGCAGCTCTTCCCAGGCTCACTCCTGTTGCTATGATCTTGCCTCTTCTATCTTAAATCTTGTCTTCGTCTCACTGTCCCCCGCTTTAATAAATGTAACCTCAAAATCCCCTGGACTTGTGTTTGAAACCTGTCCTGCACGAAATCAAGAAGCCACACATTCCACACCATACTGGGGCAGATCTACCTTGGTCCTGGTCCCTTTCTGGTGGCAATATGACTGAATACATTAACATAATTCAGAACAAGTCAGTAAATATCTACAAGAACATATTATATAGTTGTAATGAGTCCCATAATACTCTATTTTCAAAGAAAAGAAACTACCAGACAGAAAAATGTTAAATTCAGAATCTGATTTTCAAGTGTCCAATGAAAACAGAAACAGTCACTGTGTGACCCAGAATGAGAGCTCTAACTGACGCTACAGGGCTTATTGGGCCAAGTGATTCCTAAAAACCCCAGCTAACTGCAGATCAGACCATTTGGAAATAGAATTAATCTGTCTGGTCAAGTAACACTTCATCTTGGTTTACCGTGTGAACCAAGACTTCGAATCCTCCTATGATTTCTAACTCCTTTAGAAACCGGGCACTCTGTGGTAACTTTAGCACTGTACAATCGCAACACCTGAGAAACCTCAGACAAGAGTCACCAAGGGTGGACAAGTTCACAGGAAACTCTACAAAACAAAACTCAGCAATGTCCTGTGGATGTGTTTCTGTACCAAGCTGCTAAGATGTTCAGCACCAGAACAGAAGTACAGAGTCGTCTCCCACTGCACTACCCTGCCTCAGGCTGTTGAAGTTTTAAATTCTTGCCACCATCAATGGGCTTTTGGCAAAGAAACTGAGGCCTGAAGAAAGTAAGGCGTGTGTCCAAGTTTATCTAGTGCACCAGGAGCAGATGCGGAACTGGTATCCTGGCCACCTGAGCCCTAGTTCAGGTGTTTCTCCACTACTTTATTTTCCCGTTTCTCTGTCCTGCCACCTTTGTAGAGGCCCAATGGCAGGACAGGCTGCTTCTCCAGAGATTACGTCACCGGGTTCTACCTGGTGGGAGCTGATGATGTGGGCATGTGTACATTCATTGAGTGTGTGTAAAATACTAGTAAATAGAATGAGGAAAGGTCTGAGGGTTCTCCTTGCTGATTACTCTGCCTGGACTTTGGAGAGAGCAATTCTGGGCAGCCCTTTTTCCATTCTTACATCTTCCTTCTGGGATTGTTCTGGATAGGGAGGCTGTCAGAAAAGTGAGCCTTTAGGAATTAATAAAGCCTTGGCTTCAAAAGGCATTGGGCATCATCGCAGGGCTCAAGAGGTTTGGTTTACACAATAACACCAGATGAAAACAAACATCTACAGTCATTGCAGTGTTTTATGCAATGGTCCTCGGGTCATTGCTCTTCCACTAAGCAGAGACCAGGACCCTGTAGGAGCGGCCATGGATGCCTGCTCTGCCTCCGTAAGGGGAAGGGGCAGTTTCCACTCACTTATACTTGCTCACTGGGCTTTATTGTTGCTTGGAAGAGAAGGATATCAGAGTAGGGGAGGAAGAAAAAAGGAAGCGAGTTCTCGAAGGCATGTATTATTTTCACATTCCCAGTATAATACTCTTCTTTGGGGGAACCATCCTGTTTTTCAGGCCATGTAGCTGCAATGCAGTTGACCCCACACTCTGGCTTCAGGGGGCCATGTGAGCTGGATAGGTGGGATTTGAATTGTACCACCAAGAATAAAGCACTTTTTTCTGTTGTAGTTTCTATAAGAAGAATGTAAACCTAGAGCCCCCAGGAACCACTAAAGAGGGCCTACCTGAGAATGAAGCCAACCTAGAGGGAAGCAGGGCTGAGCAATGGAGAGACCAAGTCCTGAAACAACCTGAGTCCCTGGATTCAGCCGTGCCTGCAACCCAACTCTACCCCTGATATTTACAATCCCATTGCGTAACATATACCTTTAAAAAAGATTAATCCAGTTTAAGTTAGATTTCTGTTACTTGAAACTAAAAAAGCACTAACAAATACAGGAGAAATAAGTGTTAGAAGATAGGAAATGAGAGGAGAAAATTACATTTCTGGAAATAGTTATCTGGAAGCAGTTCAGTTTGTCCCCTGGAAATAAGAAAGGTGACAGGGGGGAATCTGTTCCATTTTTCATATTAAGCTCAGATCATCAGAACTATAGCTCTACCTAATTACTGTGATTAATCGCGCCAAATTCTAAATATAAAATGAGTGTGCATTTTCTAATGTTCAATGATACTGCAATAGCCACGAAGAGAAGAAAGGGGCCATTAACAAATAAAGATATCTTTTAAGAGAAATCATTTTTTTTCTGTCCAAATACAGTCATAACTGGATAAAGAAGAAAAGGTCGCAGTGATAACCCAGATCTTACCTGGCATGGCATGAATAAGGTCCCCGCACAGAACAAAGAATCTGGGTTTGGGGTTCAGCTTGTTGATGGTCTGAACAGCTTGCTCAGTTAGACGAATCTCTTGTTCCCACTCATCTCCACCGTTGTCACAGTCCCCAGTGGACCAGGCCTTCATCAGTCCGAACTGCGGGTCTGCACCCTGGATGAAGTAGAATGGGCCTTTCCATTCCCTTTCCTTCTCTTAAAAAAAAAAAAAGAAAAAAAAAGGAGAGAATATTATGAAATCTTTCAGGGAAAGCATCCAGGTTACCATGCAAATGGATACAATATTTTTCTTAAATTAAGTAGGTCATTTTAATAAGCTGCTGTTCAAACATACCATTTTCCTGTCATAGTGTAGAGGATTTTGATTTATACTAATTACGCCTGGGACCTGGTGTTTCCCAAAGGCCAGGACAAACCACGTGGGCCTCCACAGCCACGCAGCCAAGCTGTTTGTTTAAAAGCGAGCTGGCCAAAATGGAGCTCCCAGGCACGACAGCATACTATATACAGGATATTAATGTCCAATAATAGTTTTTTAATTAGAATTAAAAATACCCCAAATTGAAAACTGCTAGAAGTATTATATTTAAATTACTAAGTGAAGTGCTCTCAAATCTTTTATGCCAGGCTTAATGGTGCAATTTGCACTGTTTCGGGGGATGTGACAGAATTTTAATTATAAAACTTAGAGCTCGGAAGCTCTGGCTATCTAGTGGGAAATGCCGTGCCAGAAATGAAATCTTGAAATGAGTTAGTCAATGTGAAAAAAAAAAATTAATGCTAACATTTCAAAGGCGGCATGATGTGGGCATAAGCTAGGTGTGAGGCTGGGGGGTGGGAAGGAAGGGAGAGGGGATTCTTGGAAAGGGAGCTAGTCACATGCACAGAAACTATCAGGCTTGCTCTTCCTGCTGGTTCCGCTGGCCCAAAGTTTCGCCAGCCACAGGACTCTGGCCTTATCTGCCAAAAGAACCACAGCCAGGGCCTGCTTCTGCAGAGCTGGAATAGCCATTAAAGGGCATGGAAGCCCTGAAGATTTCAAACTTTCCTTCCTTCCTCCCTTCCTTCCTCCCTCCCTCCCTCCTCTTTTTTTTTTTTTTTTTTTTTTTTTTTGCCCCAGAGTTCTTCCTTCAACCTACCAAAACCTCACGTGGCAGACCAATGTTGAAAACCCAGAGCTGCCTCTGTCCAACTGGGATCAGCCCTGGTATTTATCCCCTAGGAAACGGAAGTCCAGAGAAGTGACCTGACTTACCTAATGGCCCATCAGCAATCAATGACAGAGACAAAACTATTTTCCTTTTCAAAATAAGTTAATGTATTTAACATGTTAATTGAGTAAGTGGCATTTCATTTGGAAGTCATAAAAATATTATAATTTCCAGAAGCACCATGGAATAATCTCATGTCTCTGTGTTCTTTTCATTTGTTTACTCAGTAAGTATAACACTTACTGAGAGCCGACTGTTTTCCAGGCCCCATTCGAGGTGCTGACCATACAGGAGTGGACCAAGACAGGTGAGGCCCTGCTCCCCTGAGTTTAATTCTCACAGGGGAGGTAGAAAAGGACATAAGCAGAGAATTGAGCCAGAGGGTGCTGAGGGCTCTGTGAGGACGAAGAGAGAAGCAATGGCTAGTGTAATTTAAATTGGATGCAGGTGTCATTTAACCTGTGCTCTATAAAGCTAGAGCCAGGTGTATATAACCTTCTAAAATCCCACAGCCAGCCTCCCACCCACCATACCTAGCTTACTATCATCTTAAAGTGGACCTTTGACTTTAGGCCTCCCTTCATTCTTAATTCCTTTTTCAGAACTTAAAAAGACAAGCATGCAAACAAAGCAAACAAAACAACCTGTACCTACTTCATAGAAGAAATTGTATACGTATGTTAATCCACCAGTTCTTCACCTATAACTCAGAGTGTTAGCTGTTCAGTCACATCACAGTCAACCTGAACTCAATCCGAACAAGGGCTGCATGAAACCCTGGTGTAAGCATCTTATTGCTAAAAACAGCAAGTGATCCTGCACAATAATGGATTCAGCTCATTCACTGAGACCTTACTACGTTTGGCAGAAAGACTTCATGATGCCCCAAAGACCCCTGTGTCATGATACTCAACATCCTACGCAATCTCCTCTCTTTTGAGTGTGGGCTGCACCTAGTGACTTCCTTCTAGTAAACAGAATGCAGTGATAGGATGTCCATCCCTTCAGGGAGTAGGCTAGACCAAGGTATAGTAATAACCTAAATGTCCCTCAATGGATGATTGGATAAAACAAATGTGGTATACAAATACAATGAAATATTATTCAGCCTTAAAAAAAAAAAAAAGAAGAAGAAAATCCTGCCATTTGGGACAATATAGCTGGACCTCAAGGACATTATGCTAAGTGAAATAAGCCAGTCACAGAAAGACAAATGTTGTCTGACTTCATTTTTTTTTTTTTATCCTTACCCAAGGACATGCTTTTTTGAGTTTTTAGATAGAGGGGAAGAGAAGAACAAAGAGAGGGAGAGAAATATGGATGTTAGAGAGAAACAGCCTTTCATAAGCACACTGACTAGGGACTGAACCCAAAACCCAGGCATGTGCCCTGACCAGGAATCGAACTTGTGAATTTGCAAAATAAAGGTCTAGAGATCTACTATATGGCATAGTGTAAGGGGCCGCTTTAGTGGTGTGGGGGACTGTAGCCCTGCACAAGCTGGGGCCTGGGAGAGGTTCCATAAGACTTGGCCGGAACACCTGTAATGCGGTCAATAGGCAGGACGTGATAATAACTCCAAGGGCCCCCAGGGGGAAATCAGGCCTAGAAGTAAATCAGACTCCTTGAAGCAGACTTTGTTTCTCCCTCAAGTTCCGTTAATCTTAAACCAGATAACCAGCTCAAGGATGGGAAGGAAATTTACAAAATCCCTGGACCCTGACCCAAATCCCATCTGGCCCCATAATGTTTACTCATCTTGGACCCAAGCAATTCAGTGTGTTCCTGCCACTGTCTTCTTTAAACATCACCTATTCTCTGTAAACTTAAGTTACTGATGTAATTACATTCCTGCTACCTATCCCCTACTTGTAACCCTCTCAATAAAAGCCATTGAGCAGGGGGGCTCGGGGCACTCTCCTTGAGAGAGAATCGGCTTCCCCTTTCCTTGACAGGCAAATGGTGTCTGCAATGACTCTTTTATCCATGGCAAATCACGGGACTTCACAGGCCAAAGTCCCCCAAAGCATAATGCCTATAGTTAACAATACTGTATTGTATGCTTAAATCTGCTAAGAAGATAGAGCTTATGTTAAGTGTTCTTACTACACACACATAATAATAATAGGAATAAGATACTTATATACTTATCTCCGAACTCAACAAATTTACACAGCAAATATGTCAATCATATGTCAATGATTTTTACATGTCAATCATAGCTCAATAAAGTGGTTTAGAAAAGAGAGATTAGGCTAAAAAAATAGTGTGACTTCCATCCTGCTCTTTCTCACTCTCTCCCCTACAGCCCTCGCTCTGGAGGAGAAAGGCCATGAAGTGAACAGCCCTATGGAGAGGCCAACATAGCAAGGAACTGAGGGAGGACTCTGGCCAACAGCCTGGGAAGAACGGAGGCCCTCCGTGTAACAATCCAACAACCTCATGAGGGAACTTGGATAAAGAGCCTCCCCAGTTGAGCTTTCAGATGAAACCACAGCCTCAGAAACCTTGACCTAATCATGTGGGAGATCCTAGGTATACCACACTCAGGTTCCTGACAGAACTGTGAGATAACACATGAGTTGTTTCAAGCTGCCAATTTTCAGAGTTGTTAGTTATACAGTAAAAGTTTCCTATGGTCAGGCATTGAAAATAAAGAGTCAGAAGGAGCCATGAAAACAATTGAAATTCTTATTTGTGTGTGTGTGTTTAAGATTTTATTTATTTTTCTTTAGAGAGAGGGGAAAGAAGGAGAGAAACATCGATGTTGGAGAGAAACATCAATTGGTCACCTCTCACACATCCCCAACTAGAGACCTGGCTCACAATCCAGGCATGTGCCCTGAACCAGGAATCAAAGCAGTGACCCTTCTGTTTGTAGGACGACTGGCGTTCAACCCACTGAGCCATACCAGCCAGGGCCTGATTTGTTTAAAAGTTATTAGCATCGTTTTTTAATTTTACTTGGACGATAACTGTTTTGCATCGATGAATGTGTTTAGCTATGTTACTGTTTTGGGTTTGTTTTGTTTTTTTTTAAAGATTTTATTTATTTTCAGTGAGAGGGGAAGGGAGGAGAAAAGAAGGAAGAGAAACATTGATGTGCGAGAGAAACACACCAGGACCTGGCCCACAACCCTGACGAGGAATCAAACTGGCAACCTTTCCATTTGTGGGAGGAAGCCCAACCTACTGAGCCCTACCAGTCAGGGCACTATGTTTCTGTTTCTGAGACAGTTTGCAGAGCTGTTTAAAGTGAATAAATTAACCAGCACCAGATCAGAGAGGCGACAATCATCCCAAGGTTGAAGCATAACTTGGGGTTTTGCAACAAACAATTTATAAACAGTTTTTTACAGCAAATGTTTAAACAAACATAGTTTTCTCCAACAGTGATTTTTCAAGAGGTGTACCATGGTACACTGACTGGTGTGCTGCAAGAATTTTTAAAACATGCAATACCTGACTATTTAGTCAGGGGCACTGGCCTCTTTTCCCTTAAGATTGTCAAATAAAAAAATGACAACAGCCAACACAGAAATAGCTATCTGGTGTGAGTGGATCAAAATAAACTATTTTTTGTCAGAGGGGCAAAAAATATATACTGTGGTGTGCCACAGAATTTTAGTAATTAGTTTATGTGTGCCAAGAGATGAAAAAGGTTGAAAATCACTAGCCATAGTCTCAAAATTTCAATAGTTCTTGGAGGTGTCAAAATAAAATTTTCCATATCACCTGTCTACCTAGTAAAATCTTAGAATTTCAATTTTACAATGATAAGGTACAAAATAAATAAACTTGACCTAAAATGAATGAGCTCACATTTCACTATACCACCTACCTTGTCTACCCAATAAAGGCAATTTGTTGACTCAAGGCTCTGCATTCTCAAAAGCACTTGGATACTATTAAGGTTCCTGCTACAAAAGTTTGTGGTCTTTGGTCTCATCTTAACTTTAATAAAGCTGAATTAAAGATATTTGA